ATCTATATTATTGACATCGTTTTAGAGGGAAAATACCATGTTTAAAAAAATTATTTGGGAAGTTGAACTATCTTTATGATTGTTTTCTTCTACTGAAATATATTAATTTGCTAACCAACCGAATAAAAACAAAATTAGATGGACAAATATACTTAGATGATAATATAAATTATATAGTCGAATAAAAATAAATTCTCAAAATCTGTCCTACGCAAATCATTGACTATAATATAAATTGGGATTATATTTTTTGCTTGTAATTCTGGTAAAGTTAATGAATATTAAAACTAAATCAGTCAAATGTTAAGATTTGAATCGGAATCATTAATTGATTTTGTGTATCTATTTTCTTTCCCAAATTTTCTTTTCTTTTTTCTAATTTGTGATCGACTATAAAAATGATTAAATTATATTATTTCATTAAATTTTTGAATTTGATGTTTTTCGTGTTCATTTAATAAATAGAGTATTTAGTGATATATAGTTTTTGGTTTTTACAATATGTGAAACTTAGATAAAAAGTTTTCAATAAAACCCGGTTGATTTATTCATTAACCAAATTTTACATTCTCTCGTATGATATTTCTCTATTATAATCTTCATTTTACTCACATATTTTCAATATTAAATATATATATCACCCTATACATATCACATGTTATATATAAATATGTTCCATTTGAAATTTATAGTAATCAATTTATATTTATACTTTTTTTTAAAAAAAATTGATATATTATTTGGTTTGATAAATGTGTATTTAATCTGAATTTATTAAGTAATAAAATAAGAAGATATACAGCTTCATCTAGTAGAAATATGTCTAAACTTATCACTATTCCATTAGATTCATGTTTCTCTAAGAACACACGACATGCAACGTGTTAAATATGAGAGGTTAAAAGAATACTTGTGTTACATGTGAATTTTAATTTATTTGTATTTTTTAGGGTTGTGTTTGTATTCAATTGATATTAGAGGTTTAGAATTCTAGAAATTTCTTATATAACTGTTTTTTTTTTCTTTTATACATTTCGTTCATTATGTAAAGTAAAACCGGTTTTTTTATCTATTGTTTTTCTTGATTTTTTCCGTAAATTTAATATTCAATATGTCTTTCTTTTTTTCTATTATATTTAGATGATCTAATTTTTGTTGTGGATCTTTAATAATTTAATATAAAAATATTGTGATTCTAGTAAATTCAAGGTTGTATATATGATTGATATGAATATGTAAAAGATATATGTTTATACTTAATTTATATATATATATATATGTGTGTGTGTGTTTGTCCGCGTAGGTGTGTGTATTTATATTAGTAAAAACCGATGGTATATATGAGATGATCTAATCTCGTTATACTAATATACTATTAATTAATACCTATACAATTCTTTATGATTTAGTCTATTGGACATATAATTTACACCAGGTGACATCATAGATAGTTATAATACAACAAATTAAAAAAATGGGACAAATGACATTTTGGGATCATTAATATGCTAGACCAATTAAATTTTATCAATTTAAAATATTTAGACCCTTGATCTACACATGATATATTTTTTTAAAAAAACGTTTAAGGTAATGTACCTTAACATAAGTATTACAGTACTAATAAACATAGATAACACACAATAAAAGAATAAATTAGATAGTAATAATCTGTGAAATGGGATCACAAAAGATGAAAACCCATGTATTAACAATAATAAGATAATATTCATATAACTCCAACAAAAAAAAAAAAAGATGAGACGGAGAGACGGAGAAGCAATCACTAAGATATTGGAGTACCGTAGATGAGGGGTAACCAATACAACATCCCTATCACAAACAAAATGCCCGAATATCAACAATGCTCATCAATGTCATCGGTAAAGGGGTTAAAATGAGGAGAAAAATAGAATGGAAGAAATGATGAACATGACAGTTCTGTGTCCTCCATCTATAATGTAGAAACTGTGTGACAGTGTAGAGGCCGATTCCACATATTATCTACACCTTAAGCAATGCAGAGACATCACCACCAGACATTTTTGGAACTTTGACGTTGTTGAAATTCATCTTTTTTGAATATGCAAATGTTAAAACGGAATTCAAAATTCTATGATATGAAACCAAACCCACCAACAGTCGTGAATCCCCATCTAAATTAACTAACTCGTATGAACGAAACACGTCCGGAGTTTCAAGTAACAAAGTCAGGGGCTAAAACCCTGCTTGGTTGCCGAACAAAACCATAAAGTGAAGAGAAAAATAACTGAGAATAAATTTATTAAGCGATATATAATATATGTGATTTTAAAATTTTTTAAAAGAGAAGATGTTTTAATTTTTTGTATATCAAAACATCACAAGTCGTAGCCCAAACGCAAAAGAAAAATTGCGTTTTGATTCTCTAAATTTTGTTGTTATTACGAACCATTGCGATTAAAACGCTGCGTTTGCGATTGAGTGCATCATTGTAGAAAAATGAGTCTTAAATGCTTCTAGAAATTCTTAGAACTTTTATTATGGACCCAAATCTAACACCAAACTCTATTAAGTTAATACTAAGAAAATCACAAACCTTAATCATTAAATGATATCTTTAATCTCGTATCGTAAACTCATCGTGCATCACGTGGTTACACATCTATTGATTGTACGATGATATAGATAAACTTATTATGGATAAAAAAAATATTAATTTGATTTTACTAAAACCAAAATATAATAAAGTTCAGTTTTATTTAATTTTATATATAGTAATTTATACGAAAATAATTTTAATGAATATAGTGAACGCGTAATCCAACCTTACTAGCCTAATAATTCCAATTATGTATTTATTGAGTTTTTTATTTTACTTTTATTAGTTTTATTATTTATTTACAAATTTACGTATCATGCCGACCAAACCCTTTCGTCCTGTTGGGTAAATGGATCGCTTCAACCAACTCTATTGTCCTGTTCGGTGAATGGATTGTATTAAACGACACGTGTTTCACGAGGAAATATTTACATACCATGTATTTCATAAGACTCGTGTATATAAATGTCATTCGTTTTCCATAAAAGCCCATTGGACCTTTCACTTGAACCTTTGGGCCCATTGACCTTTTTGCCCAACATTGGTCCATTGGGCCTTTCAACCCAACTTGTTTCTAATCGATCGATCGGGAATAACTCCATCTCTTAAACCGTACAAAAACATAAATCGTACAAAATATCAGACTCTATTACTCAGACTAATAAATCTGAGATCTAACAACCATAAACCGACTAGTAACCAAACTAATGTGACCTAAACCGGTGTTATACAACCCTAAACCCCTTTGTACCGAACTGCTGCTCTAAACCGGTCCAATTGGACTCTAAACCAGACCAAACCAGTCCTGATTTATCTAAACCAAACCATAATTGTCTTAAATTAGTTCGGTTTGATCCTAAACCGAACAAACTTTGACCAAATTGGTCAAAGTCAATTTAAATAAGTCCAAACCGATCAAAATTGAATTGGAGCTGGTCTGAACCGGCTCGAATTGGATCAAATCGATTTAATCTGAACCGAGTTAGACAAAAGAACTAACTCGAATTAAATCGGTCGATCCAGTTTAACCTAAACCGTAATTTTCAGAAACCCCAACTGTAGATTTAACTCAGTCAACTCGGTTGTGCTCAATCGAATCCCCGACTCGTCCGAGTTACGACCCCATCTGATGAGGACATCATCGGAACACACCACCGCCTAGTGTATCGTATAAGAATGTGGACATCATCCCTTCAAATTTCTCCCGATCTGACTCTGATCCCGTCCGAGGATTTCATCGAGACCGCTTCGAACACCGCCTCCTAGAAAAACAGCTGAAACAAAACGAAGACAAAAATAAGAAAGACATCAGACCAGAAATCTGGGAGGAAGACATACCTCGCCATCGTCGGAACTGGACGAGAAATGGAAGAACGAGGCGCAACTTTTTACGTATTTAGGTTCCAAGGATCCACTAAAGACAGTGGTACACAATGCTCACAATGCGGAGATTTATCAACACACGCACAACAGGAAAGAACAGCAAACCGAAACTTCCATGTCTCGACGGAGATCCGTCGTTTCTCCTCCCTGCAGCTCTCTCTCCTATCTGCGTATGTGGTCCTCTCCTCCTTGGATTTGATCGAAAACACGAGAGCCTTCACCTTTCAAGCGGAACCCTAATCCGAAAACGCCTTCGTATTGTTTGATGGTCTGGTTAGCCTGTACCGAAACACAATGGACAAAGAAAACCAACCAAATCATCCGTTTCTTCCCTAACCGAACCGAAACGAGAATCCTCGTGCCAGCAGAGACAAAGTCTTCACTCCTACACCATCTATGCCAACCAAAACATATTCGTTTGGGACTTCGATTTGATTTTGGTTCGGTTATATTCGGATTCAATTTTTTTAATTTTAAAAAAAATTATAATCATTCGATTATTATAATGAATATTGTTTTCGTTTGGATTCTATTGAGCTCTAAAGGAGACGAAGGTTTTCAGAAATTTTCTTTGTATTTCAAATGTATATAGTAGTGTTTTTATATACAATTACAACTCAGAGAAAGGACAAAAAGAATTAATGAATCATATACATGCGAAACAACGAAAAACGGCACCAACATACTCTGCAAAACAACCTGGTATGTCGCCTAACCATATAGAATCAAAGATGGTGACGTAAACCGCGTTGCCAGTACCAAACCGGAATTGGGTATTTTATTACTCCCCCTCAAGATGGAGAGTACATATCATGAACTCCCATCTTGGACAGTAAGTAACGAAACTGATTGGCAGAAACAGGTTTGGTCGGTAAATCAGCAACTTGATCCTTCGAATTGACGTGCAAAGTCTTCAGAAAACCAGATTTGATGTGATCTCGAATGTAATGGCAGTCTAATTCAATGTGTTTGGTCCGTTCGTGATAAACGGGATTGCTGGCAATATACAGAGCTGATTGACTATCCGAAAACAGAGTTAGAGGTTTCGATAATCAATGTGAAGATCACGAAGTAAACCGGATAACCAGAACAACTCACAGGAAGCTTGAGCCATTGCTCGATATTCACTTTCGGCACTGCTGCGAGACACAATGGCTTGTTTCTTGGATTTCCATGATATGAGAGAATGACCCAAAAAGATACAGTAGCCAGAAACTGATCTTCTAGAGTCTGGGCACGATGCCCAATCAGCATCGGTGTATCCACTGAGACGCAGAGGAGAATTGCCTGGAAATAACAAACCCTGAGAAGGAGCTCCCTTTAGATATCGAAGTACTCGGTGAGCAGCCTGCAAATGACTAGAAAAAGGACGAGCCATGTATTGACTTAATTTCTGAACAGCAAAACTTATGTCTGGCCTGGTGACGGACAGGTATATCAATCGCCCAACAAGCTGTCTGTAATGAGTAGCATCATCAAGAATGGTGCCCGAATCAGCATAGAGCTTTTCGCGTATATCCATAGGTGTAGCGAGAGGTTTGCTGCCAAGGAAACCAAAATCCTCTAGCAATTCAAGAGTGTATTTGCGTTGACAGATTTGCACACCTTGGCGAGAACGAGCAACCCCGAGACCAAGGAAATAATGCAAGGGATCAAGATCTTTCAGTTGAAAATGCTGGTGTAAAATCTGTTTTGCTGCAGATAACAATGTAGGATTGTTACCAGTCAATAAGAGGTCATCCACATAGACAAGGATGGCCACAATTCCTGTAGAAGTAAAGTTGACAAAAAGGGAGGTGTCTGCCTGCGACTGTTGAAAACCAGAATCCAGAAGAACTTGGGAGAGCTTTAAATTCCATTGCTGGAAAGCTTGTTTGAGCCCATATAATGATTTCTAGAGCTTGCAAACAGATCCGGACTAAAAAGTCTCCCCCTTAAGGACAGAGTATCCCGGGGGAATCTGCATATAAATCTCTTCGGACAAATCTCCATTCAAGAAAGCATTGGAGATGTCCATTTGCTGTAAGTCCCAGTTCAGAGAGGAGGCCAGAGCCAAAATGAGACGAACTGTCGTGAGTTTTGCCACTGGACTAAACGTGTCCAAGAAATCAATGTCCTCTAATTGTGTGTACCCTTTCACGACCAATCGAGCTTTGTAACGGTCAACACTGCCATCCGGATTATATTTTACCTTATAAACCTATTTGCAACCAACAGGATGTTTGCCGGGAGGAAGAACACAGACCTGCCAAGTGTTAGTTCGAGCCAATGCATCTAGTTCTTGGATCATCGCAGTTTTCCACTGATCTGATTTGATGGCCTGGGTAAAGGTTTTAGGTTCAGGTATAGTGGTGATGGATAGAACAAAATGGCGAAAAGAAGGATGAAGGTGCTGGTCGGAGAGAAAGGAAGTAAGAGGATAAAGGGTTTTGTTAGATGCTGGGGGTGGGGAATGATGGTTTAAATAGTAACAATGGTAATCAGAAAGATAACTAGATGTCTTAGTATGTCGTTGTGATTTTCAGATACCCACATGATCTATAGTCTGTATAGGAGGAGAATGAGAGTCACTGTCTTCAGGGGAAGGAGACAGAGACGAAGGTTGATCAGAGGTGACCTTAGAAGGAATAGGAAGAGAGGAGAAAGAAGAATCATATGAAAAATGAGGTGGTGTTTCAGGAAAGAAATTTGTTGTAGTTGAAGGAATGGAATCTGATTGAAAGGGAAAAACAGATTCCTCAAAGATGACATTTCGAGAGACTGTAATGGCATTAGTCCGAAGGTTCGTGACTTTGTATCCTTTGGAGCCATTGGGATATCCAAGAAATACATGAGGAACAGTAGGAGGTGAGAATGTATGTCTGTCTTTGCTAAGTGTAGAGACATAGCAAAGGCAGCCAAAAACTCTCAAATGGTGGTATGTAGGTTTAATTCTCGAAATATTAATTATTATATTACATTATAAAAGTAAACAACGTATTCTTCATGTAATAATATTACCTTGTTTTAAATTATATGAATTTAAAATAGAATTTGATAGCGTGTTTATTTTTATTTAAATTGCTGGATCGTTTTTTATTTATATTTTTATTAGATTTAATTACGACATTTATGGTTCTCAAATTGATATCCAAATCTTTTTTTTTTTGTATTGATGTTATGTGCCAATTCGTTTAATTTGCAAGTTAGATGAGTCTAGATAAAGTTAAATATTTCAAACTCGTTTAAAAATAAATCGGATTGAACCGAACTCAAAATTAGCAAATTCGTGAGATGTTGAACCGAATTGAAACAAACTAAAATAAAAATAATCGATGATATATGAAGAATGGCTACTAATATCTATTATGAATTCCAATTATATTTTATATATTCAACGGATATGATTAAAAATATTTTTTTTAGACATATTTGGTCTAATAGTCTCTCAGTTATGTTTCTGACTTTTAAATCGAATGTTCTGATTCTATTTTAATTCATGATTTAACATCTTCATTCAATTTGAATCAACCTCAATTGATAAAGTATATATTTGTGTGTTAGTATAGAAAAGTCTCTAACAAAATCGTGAATTGCATGTATAACTACAATGTCAACCTCAATTAATAGTATACATCACTTGTTGGATATTAACAAAATCGTGAATTGCATATATTTATTATTATTATTATTATTATTATTATTATTATTATTATTATTATTATTATTATTATTATTATTATTATTATTATTATTATTATTATTATTATTATTATTATTATTATTATTATTATTATTATTATTATTATTATTATTATTATTATTATTATTATTATTATATTTCTAAAATTTATTTGGAATGGATTTGAATACGTATATATGAATATATTTTAAAAAATTGATGAAAATGAATTGAAAAATATTTCGATTAGGGTACTCGAAAGTACCCGACAATATCTAATGGGTTTATGAATTTAAATATTCGAATTCACATATATAAATTTAGATAATAAAATATATAATCTGAGATATTCGAATTCGGATTTAGATATCCTTAATACCCACCCCTACAAAGGACTTGCAATCCAAAATTATAAAAAAACAACAACAAACTTTAAATATTATATTATGTTAACCAAAAAAAATTTAAAATATTATACAATCAATAATCAACATAACATATGTGTTATAGGTCAATCATCAATTAGCAGAAATTATCAATCATCAATCGTCATTCAACAATCATCAATCAACAATCAATAATCAACATATATCATAAATTTACAAGAAAATTTAAGGAGTATATCCTAAAGTCCTAACCGCATTGTATCTATGTTCCTTATTTTTTTATACCTATATGAATAGAAGAAAGAGGAGTTTAGTCAAATTCTCTCACCTCAGTCTAAACGATGAATCTTGAAAGATCCGCTCTAATCTTCGATCCTGGATCCAACCTGGAGATCTGTTCCATCTAAATTAATTAACAATTAATAATCCTTAAGTACCTTGATTTTCATAGAATGGTTTCATATTTAGGATCGGGGATCAGAAAAATTCAATCCCTATCATCGGATAAATTTTCGGCAGTGACGCGAAGCAAATCACCATAACAAAAAAAAGAAAGAAAAAGAAAAAATTAAAATATAAAAAGAAGAAAAGAATGAAAAAAGAGAAATACATGTGGAAGACGCAATGACAATGGATTCGATCAGTAGAAACAATAGAGAGAGAATAAACTGAATAAAATAAACAAAATAAAAAGGTAAATGAGGGATGGAAAAAAGAGAGAGAAAGAGAGAGAGAAGAAGATCTAAAATTTATTTGGAATGGATTTGAATACGTATATATGAATATATTTTAAAAAATTGATGAAAATGAATTGAAAAATATTTCGATTAGGGTACTCGAAAGTACCCGACAATATCTAATGGGTTTATGAATTTAAATATTCGAATTCACATATATAAATTTAGATAATAAAATATATAATCTGAGATATTCGAATTCGGATTTAGATATCCTTAATACCCACCCCTACAAAGGACTTGCAATCCAAAATTATAAAAAAACAACAACAAACTTTAAATATTATATTATGTTAACCAAAAAAAATTTAAAATATTATACAATCAATAATCAACATAACATATGTGTTATAGGTCAATCATCAATTAGCAGAAATTATCAATCATCAATCGTCATTCAACAATCATCAATCAACAATCAATAATCAACATATATCATAAATTTACAAGAAAATTTAAGGAGTATATCCTAAAGTCCTAACCGCATTGTATCTATGTTCCTTATTTTTTTATACCTATATGAATAGAAGAAAGAGGAGTTTAGTCAAATTCTCTCACCTCAGTCTAAACGATGAATCTTGAAAGATCCGCTCTAATCTTCGATCCTGGATCCAACCTGGAGATCTGTTCCATCTAAATTAATTAACAATTAATAATCCTTAAGTACCTTGATTTTCATAGAATGGTTTCATATTTAGGATCGGGGATCAGAAAAATTCAATCCCTATCATCGGATAAATTTTCGGCAGTGACGCGAAGCAAATCACCATAACAAAAAAAAGAAAGAAAAAGAAAAAATTAAAATATAAAAAGAAGAAAAGAATGAAAAAAGAGAAATACATGTGGAAGACGCAATGACAATGGATTCGATCAGTAGAAACAATAGAGAGAGAATAAACTGAATAAAATAAACAAAATAAAAAGGTAAATGAGGGATGGAAAAAAGAGAGAGAAAGAGAGAGAGAAGAAGAAGACAAAATAGAAAAGGAAAAAAAAATGAAGAGAACGACATAAGAGTAAGGAGAAGAAATAAAAATAAGACAAATCCTAATTAATCATTGGTTATGTATTTATCGAGTTTTTGACTTTACTTTTATGATCTGTTATTACTTATATTTACAATAATTACGCATCATGTTGACCAAACTCTTTTGTCCTCTTCGGTGAACGGATCGGCTTAATCAACTCTCTATTGTCCATTTGGGTGGGTGGATCGTGTTAAATAACACGTGTTTCACGAGGCATTATATACGTATCATCATGTACCTCATAGGACATATATAACGATGAGGTATCACATCCTAAATCAATTTGAAAAAATGTGTGGCTTTTTGTTTTGTTTGCGTACATACGTAATGAGATTGAAGATGCTTGTGCAATGTCGGGAACGGTCAAGAGAGATGTCATTTAGCCAATCCGCGCAGGCCGCCATGGCTGCAGGGGGATTGGGTTGACAACGCCCTGCAAACCGTAGCCAGACTTCAGAGCTATACCTGCATTCAGAAAAACAGGTGTTGATGGGTTTCGGGAACGTTGGCGCAGAGGACACACCATTGTAGCGTTTTGTCCTTGGTTGGTAGACGCCGTAACAGCGCCAACCATTGCATGAATCTGAAGCGAGGGACTGATTCTTTGAAGCGAGTGCCATGTGCCCTCGGGGCGTGAGTGCCGAATGAGTTTCCAGGTTTTGGCAATGGAGAAGTCTGTCCGGCTTCCCAATGTGAAGGCTTTGGATTTCGTCTGACCTTTCTCCACGTGGGGACCAACCTAAAGAACTCGAAGCTTCGCAGACAGAGGCCATGCAGAGGTAGCCGAAACATCTTGGGACCATTAGGGCCTATATATGTACTCAACGAGAGCTCCTAAGAACCGTCTTTGTCTTCATCAACGCTAGTATGTTCTTTTAATATATAGTTCTAATACGCCACACACTAATATTTTCTTGTATTTTATAAACCCTAATTCTTATATTTCAATCTTGCAAGACATATCAATCTTGAAGACATACATGAAAGAGAAACGTTACTTAAAGACATTAAAGGGCAGAAACATTTATTCGATAGTACTTGAAACACTTCTGCTGTTACATATATCTCTGTGTGGAGTGAGAGATATCAGTTAGTGATTGGCGCGACATAAACTCCAACTCGATGGACGTTGCTCGCGTTCCCATGGAACCCGACGATTTTGCAATCTTTCTCCTCGAGTGTAAACTCAGCTCCCGCTTCAGTTCCAAACTGTGGAGATGTTCGCTTGTTCGTCTTGAACCTTAGCATTGTAATGATTTCAGCTTGAGTTCCATAGATCTTATCATAACATCCCTCCACCGCTGTGATGTATTCATTGGGATAGTCGAGCTCAAACTGCGAAAAAACCCCGTGAGAATCGGTACAAGTTAGGGATATAATGTATAGTTGAAGCATATGTAAACTCATTTCCTGAAGCTATGGAAATCGAAATGACCTCTTCCATTCCAATAAGGGACTTCTTCCCGTGGTCATCTCCAACTACGAGCCTCTCACCCTTCTCATACACAAATTTGACAAAGACCACGCATGAATCGCCTTGCCCTATGTATATCTTCCGCACACCGTCGTCCCATGAATCTCCTGCTTCACCGCCTTTTGCTTGAAGTTTCTCGGCCGGTGATGCAAAATACGCTCCAAGGGAGCTAAGAGTGTCGCCTGCTCGTCCGTAGAACCCGATAATTTTTCGTCCGTCCCCTTCGATCACAAATTTTGCACCGGACGCAAGACCAAGACCCGGAGAAGTCCTCCGCTTAGACGTTTTGAAGGTAATAGACGTCACCACGTCGTCAAAAGTTCCCTCCACTTCCGTGATGTATTCGTTTGGATAATCAAGCACAAACTGCAACAGATCAATCACTGGAAATTGTTATTAAACAAATATAATCAAACTATATAAAGATTTTGAGGTATAAAAAGAAGAAAAATGACCTCAATGGGCTGTTGTTCTATCTTCCCATCATCATGTGCTTGAAACTTTCCATCTTTGCCATACTCGAACTTGACATAAGATATAGCTGAATTATTTTGTCCGATGTACACTTTCCTTACACCATCATGGACACCATCATCCCAAGCATTCCCTCCATTTCCACCCTTCACCTCGGATTTATAAGGAGGAATGGTTAAAGATTTCGGCACAAAGTAAGCTCCAAGGGAATCAAGAGCATCACCATCACGCCCATGGAACCCAATGAGTTTGCCCCCTTCGTCCTCGAGCACAAATTTCGAACCCGTCACAATTCCAACCGATGGAGACGTTCTCTGCTTAGACGTTTTGAAGGTAAGCGACGTAACGATCCTAGTGTTGTATGGATCGACGGCGTGAGTTCCCTCCACTGATGTGATATATTCTTCCGGATAATCAAGCACAAACTGCAATAATTTTCAACCGAAATAATAACTCTCATTTCCGATTAAAAGAAACGAAATCGTATATGTTTCTAGTATAGAAAGTAGGCAAAACCGTTGTCGCTTCTTGAGCTCTCTTCCCATGACAACGCGTTTCCAATATCCCGCCCTTGTCATAGTCGAACTTAACATAAGCAATGCCCAAATCGTTTTGTTCAACGTGGACCTTTTTTACACCGTCGTAGGTGCCATCATCCCAAGCACCTTCTCCATTGCCACCTTGGGCATCTAGTTCATTCAGAGGATAAGAGGACAATGGAATGCGCGCAAAAGTAGCTCCGATAGCATCAAGACTGTCGCCGGCTCTTCCATGGAACCCGACAATTTTTCGCCCTTTGTCTTCAATTACAAACTCGATACCGTCTTTAGAGCCAAATGTTGGAGAGGTTCTCCCCTTGGACGTTTTGAAGGTAAGCGAGGTAACGAGGTCATTGCCCAATAACCCGAACATATGAACTGGGTTAAAGGTTCCCCCCACGGATGTGACGTATTCGTTCGGGTAGTCAAGCTCAAACTAAAATCATCGATAAAGAAAAGGGTCTCGCCGTAAGCAATTCAAGAATCGAGAACTATCAGCATATGTAACGATGCAAGCAGAACCCGGTGTTTAGACATAGATTCAGACAGTGTAAATTTTTAAAAGGAAAACATATGAAAGTACTACGTACCTCTTCCGGAGCTTGTTGCCCCTTCCCATGATCATGTGTTTCCACTTTGCCGCCTTTGTCGTATTCGAACTTGACATAACTTATAGCCGTGGAACTGTGAGCGACATATGTTAGAATGGATTAATAATCAAGAACCTAAATATTGGGCTTATACATCATGGACGATGATAACTTGCTGTTCAAGGAGAAGACCAACAATGACGTGAACCTTGAGGAGAAGTCAAAGCATTGGAATGGAGAAGAGGCTTATTTCCAAGCATCATATGACCGTTTGAGGAGCAATCTCAATCACATATATTAATAGATTTGATTTAAATGAAATCTGATGGTGTATATCGGAGATATGAAAATCACGGGAGAGAATTTTGAGTCTTCCTTATTTGAATCTCCTATATGCCACCTCACATTCACAGTTAGCGTCTTCATTTCATTTTGTATAAATTCTCATGTATGTGTATTGATTTAGATAAGACAATCTAAAGGGACATTGTCCCATATTTCTTAGTTTCTTCATCTTCAACGTGTCACTCTTCTTTTCCACTATTTTTCACATTCTCATCACTTCCAAATACATAAATTCCACATGGTATCAGAGCATAAAGGTCCATGAACCCCTCTGTTCCAAATTTCTTTTAATTCCGCTGCACAAAACTCTCGGTAATATACAAACCGAAGAGAGTTCAAGATTTTTTTTATCCTTTTCATCCGCCATATACATCCCTAAAAGGTCACATGAGGTGTGTTGGGTTTTCCTATGATCTCAAGAGCGAATCTAATTCCTAAGAGATCAGTTCTAGGGTTTGCGCAGCGGATGAAAAACAAAAATTTTGATGAAACCCTAAAACCTATCATGCATGATCTTGTAGAAACGTTAGAACGCTTACCTCAATCGATCAGGGACCTGTATCAATCGAAGAACGCGTTTGATCACTGTAGGCAGGAAGAATACCTTGCCCTCTACACGTATCCACACGGCGGAAAGGATTCCAACGGTTGGAACTTGTCTGCTAGGACTGAAGAACGCGTTCTTCTTTGCGCAAGGATTTCAGGGATCTTTCTCTTAGGTTTTTCACTCCAAGGGTTTCAAGGATCTTTCTCTTAGCTTTCTCACTCTCCAAACCTCTCCCTAGGGTCTGAAAATAGTGCCAAAAGAGTTGGGTGGCGTTCCCCAAAGTTGTTCTCACTTAAAACCCTAATTAGAGCGAGTTTAGTAAATCCCGACGTCTGGACCGATCGGTCCAGACCTAGACCGATCGGTCTGGAACCTTTTAACGTCTGGACTGATTTCGGACCTCACACGTTACCTCTGGACCGACCGGTCTACGTCTAGACCAATCGGTCTGGGTTAGCTGGACCGATCAGTCCAGATCTTCTGGATCGGTCGGTCTGGCCTCCGCTCCACCGAGATTTTCTCGTCTCTTTTCGCGCATTCGTCCTTTCCTGTGTGTGTGACCCTGTAGGCTCATCCGATATAGCAGTATAACACGAAATCTCTTATTTCGGTTACACAAGTCATAGGCGGTCTCTAGCAAGACACTATGACTACCTATCTCGAATAGAGTTTGTTCGTGATCCTACGAACGCCAGTGATGATTCCGTTTGATGATCATTTTGTATCACGATATCATATGTCGAATATAAGGCATGGACAAGCCACCTTATCTGATTCGACTGCTTTCTCGTTCACTGAGTTCGACTATCTGAAATAGACGACGTTCGTCTATAGTGCGGCCACACATTTCTACAGTCTCGCTCACACGAGGGGCCCAGCGATATCTCTCTCTTTTACGAGAGGTACAAATCCCGTCTTGACTATCTACAATCCAGCACATGATTCGTTTCGTACCTGATACACGCCTTTATAGTCCTCCTGTTACGCAGGACGTTTGACGTAATCAAAGTATGCAACTCCTCATGTTGGATTCCGTAGATATCTCAGGTCTTAGGATCCAATCATGGAACCTGTTGGGGTTCCCTTCGGGTTCCTAGCATGCGATCTCATCGATCTAGGGTTTGGTTTCTAGGTTTCATGCAGCGGAAGGAAAGATCTAAACCTAGCCAAACGTCACACAAAAACCAATTGTGCAATAACCCGAACAATCGTGTATATCGTCGTGGGATTCGAATACTTACCTCGTTCTTTCAAGATCTGGAAGTATCAATCGATCCAGGGCCTGTTTTAATCACCAAGAGTTGAAACCACAACTCCTCTACACGTATCCACACCGGCGGGATGAATTCCAACGCTTTGGAACGTAGCTGCTAGGATTCGTGAAGAGAAAACCGATGTCCTTGACTTGGAATCAATATTCCAATCTCTATAACTCAAAATCAAGCTTCTCTAAGCTCTCATGAGTGTCTTGGACGTCTGAGGTTCGTTCTCTAGGGTTTGTGGCGGCTCTCTCTTTAATTAGAATTGCCCAAAACCCTTAAAACGCGAAAACCGAAAACTGCCCGTAAGTCGGACCGTCCGTTCCAGG